CAAACGAAAATTGAATTAAAATTAGCAAATGTTGAATGCATACTAAAAATAATAGCTAATAAATTTAGAAATTGAATATAAATTGAGCCTATACTGAAACCGAATTGAATGCTGTCCAAGCAATGGATATGAAACGATTCAATTACTCTAATAAAATGTGAAAACTCGACTAAACGTAGTAGGGGCATTAGTTGAACTTGAAAGAGGTTGAATGAAGGCAATTGAAAATGCAAAAATCTTATAGCTGACATTTCGCAGTTCGCTGAGTGTTGTGACAATTGAATTGAACGATTGAAAAGGAATTGAATGCTGCCCAAACAATGGATATGAAACGATTCAATTACTCCAATAAAATGTGAAAACTCGACTAAACGTAGTAGAGGCATTAGTTGAACTTGAAAGAGGTTGAATGAAAGCAATTGAAAATGCAAAAATCTTATAACTGACATTTCGCAGTTCGCTGAGTGTTGTAAGTGACAATTGAATTGAACAAGCTGACAGCTGTTCTGTCAAGTGAGCCGCCAGCCACATGAATGATCCATTTAAGTTTTGCAAACCTCTCGATGCCCTTCAGACTTCGGCCTCACCCCCACTTCCCCACTTCCCCCACCACAACAACATTTGGCCGTCGTTTATCGTGACGGCGACAAAATAAATGGCAGCTCGAAAGCCTTGATGTAATCCAGTGAAATGTATTATTAATGCCACAGCCTAGGTCACATATTTATATGTATATACATATTATATATATGTATATGTATATATAGAGAGCTAAGCCCAGGCAGCTAACCCTCAATTTCAGATGCGAGAGGCAGGACAATAACAATTGCACTGGCTGCTCTATAAGGCACGAAAGTTTACAGCTAAAACGATTCGAATTGCCAATTTCATGCTTCGAGTGCAAGGCTTTCAATCAAGCCAGAGATCGAGAGAGAGACAGACAGAGAGAGATAGAGAGAGAGAGAGTGAGACAGAGGGAAAAACTAACGCGAAAAGCAACGCTGACATGTTCATAGAAATGTAATATAGTTAGATACATAAGTATTCGTACTTAGAGTTACATATGCAACCAACTTACAGTGTCTCCTCTCTCTCTCTCTCTCTCTCTCTCTCTCTCTTCCTCTCCCTCTCCCTCTGTCTGCCTGTCTGTCTCATCCTCGTCTGGCCAGCCTGCAGTCGTAGTGTATTAACAGCCATTGAGTGAGCTGGTTTCGTATCATCGTGACCTCGTCTTGTGGCAATTGGATATGCCACCAACAACGACATCACTTTCCAACACAGATGCTTCTCTGTCTGTCCACGTTCCATATGCTGTCTCGCTCACACTCTACCCGCCACTATATCTCTCTCTCTCTCTCACTCTCGACCACTGTGAATGTCCTTTTTGGAGGCGAGCGCACGCGATTTTTATGGCATATTCGTGAGCTTATTGTAATGAATTACTTTACGTATCTTTTGCGCTCTTTCATTTTTGTTATACTTTAAATACCCCGTAGACGGAGCAGAGGCGGCCGAGCGGGTAGCTTGGACTGAGCACATGATGTGGCTGCATTGGAAAACTTTGCGTGCTATTTTTTACTAACTGTATTTTGTTTATCTAATTGAAAAATGTTTTACTTTAGTTTATCTCTATGTAGATGCAGCTATAGGCATGAAGATATGCCCCATGTAAGACTCTCTATTTGTGCAGAGAGAAAATATTTATACATTTATCTATGTGGATATAGATGTAGACGTAGATATATGGCTCATACAATGCTCTCCATTTATAGGGAGAAAAAATCTGTATATCTCTCTATGTAGATATATAGGGTTTTTCAATAAGGTCGGGTAGATGCTGAAATCTATATTAGGCATAGATATATTTGCCTTATATAAGGTTCTCTATGTATTATAATACATACACAATTTTACATCCCTTATGGAAAGTTGATATATGAAAACTTTTCTTCTAACTAAATATGGTCAGGAATCCAAGTTAACTTGTTGGTTCTATTCACAACTATCCAAGTGAACTCAATAGATATTAGAGCTGGAAAAATATAATTGGATATGTGTAGCTTGTTTTGATTGTAGCATTATAATATACCAGTTATATAAGACTAATTGTGCTCAACTATCTATGTGAACTCGATGATTGCTGGAGTTGGAGACAGCAAATTTGGTAAGTATAGTCTATAATCGTTCTCTCTCTCTTTCTCCCTCCCTCTCTCTCGTTTTTTCCCATATTTAGAGTTTTTTTTAATATACTCAACACATATCCTTAATAGAGATCCATATAATTTTCATACTTTTACACAAAAATATTTCATTTTTCGCAGCGCAGCCTCAGCTCTGCAGCATAACTGTTCGTCGAGCGTATCCGGCCTTTGCGTCTTTTCTATATTCCTTTTGGCGTAATCCATGACGATGGTCGTTAGTCGTTAGTCTGAGGCTCGGTTATTGACTGCATGCGGTTGGCTCTTAGCGCCGTTTGCCCATTTCCGACTAGCGAATATTGTAGATATATATAGCATAGCATATACAGATATACATATATATGTATGTATGCACATATATCTATCTCTTTGGCTATGATTGTGCTTCATATCATGTGACATGTGGTATTTTGCTGTAATCATAATTTTATGTCCATCTAAGTAGCTGCGCCTGACGACTGTCAGCGACACGGCCGGCAGGATAAGCAACAACAACAACAACAACAACAACAACAACAACAACAACAACAACAACAACAACAACAACAACAACAGCAACATCAACTCATTTGAAGCTGTGTGCTCAGTTTTAGCAGCGCTGTCAATCGAAATCTTAGGCATGTCCTTAACACATCCTGCCCAAGGCCCAGCGACCCCTGCTTGGCTGACGTTCAGCTGTGGCACCTGCAACGATTCAAGTTGATAGCTCTGCCTTGACCAGACATTCCCCAACATTCTGTAATAGTTCATTGACTCTGCCTCTGACTTAGATTTCGGTAAACACTCAATTGAACTAGTTCCGGGCAGATGTGCGCAGAAATTGTCTTGTGTGCATGTTGTTCCCATATCTATTGATTTATATAGTCTTAATTGCCCAGACATTTCTCGACATTCAGAGACAGCTCCTTGACTCGACCTACTTAAATTTGCCTTCACATTCAATTGAACTAGTTCCGAGAGAGATATCTTTTGATCCACATAGGCTAGACCAGTGTAAACATTTCTTATACTTCTATAGATGGGTAGCAAATATAGATTTGTTGCGGGTAATTTCTTTTCTAACGGCATTGATGATATTCGTCTCGAGCATTATTTCAATTTCAATCGATCTGTCAATGACTTTTATGGGTTTCCTCTACCTAACAGCACGATAAATTCACTGACAAGCATTTAGGTAAGATAAAATCCATCTGTAAAGCGAGTTTAGGGTAAGGTATCTAGAAGGTTTTCAACCTTACGTTCAAGAGAAGTGAAAATTACAGGGTATTTTTTATATGAGAGGCCTCAAAAGAGACGTAAATATTATTTCTGGGGTATTAATAGGGAAGATCAACATCGAATATACAATTGTATGTTTCTTGCTGTCACCTCTCTTGAGGTTACCCATATATATCGTGTTACTTCTCTTCACGTAGGACTTCTATGCTATCAAAAAGAGTACTTTCCTATTTGTCACTCCCTTGTAGATAAACTTTATACGCTCTTTGAAATGAGAGAACATACGAATATAATTCCAAATTTCTGTCTCAACCCGCAATAGCTGAAATTATCGGAAAGTCATTGCAAAAATCTAATATACCTTCATTCACTTTAATGAATGAGTAATCGGAGAGTAGGGGCAGCTCACGTTAAACCGCTAGTTAGATTTGACAGGAGCATAGATATATGCACACCGTTGAGTACTATAATTGGATGTACTCAAACATGGACTTGCTTAACCAGATGTATAATCTTGTTGCCTTTATCTTCAGAGTTTATTCCTGGGCGCTGGACTCTCAACTGCCACGCCCCGTCGCCTGTGGCCAAACAATCATTAGCCGTACATTAGCGGCATTGACGTTGAAAATTGTGCAACTGCGAAACGTTTACGTTAAGCCTTTGAGTAAGCAAAGTAAGTGAATGGAGTCACAGGATACGACAACACACAGATAGCAGGAGCAGCAGGAGCAGCAGACGCAGATATACCTATGCAGCACGATGCTTTAGGAGACTGGGGCCGTGAAGGGCACCTATAAAACCACGTAATCTGCAAGTGAGTTCTTTAATTATGCTTGCAGCGCAACACATGTAAACGACGCAGCAGGTGGCAGCAGCAGCAGCAGTAGGCAAAGCGCAGGAGGTGGAGGCGGAGGCCGCAGTTTCGCTGTGACCGATGTGTGCGGAAGCGCAAACAAAATGCGAAGCGAAAGCCGCTTACAAAACCACAAAATGCTACGGACATCTTCTGCCAGCAGAAGGAATAGGTTGCTGGCAGGAGCAGCAGGGACACAGTGGCAGGAGTAGCTCGACTAGCAGGAGGAGCAGCAGCTGGCTACGTCATTCCACGTTCCTCCATTTTGAAGTTTTTGGGTCGCTGCGGTTTTTCGGCTCGCTCTATCTCTCACTCTTACTCTCTCTCTCTCTCTCTCTCTCTCGCTCTTCTTATGTGTGTGTGTGTGTGTGTGCGCTGCCCAAAGGATTACAATGGAGATGCGAATAAACACAAATACAAACAGCAAGCACAGACTCACATATACACATACATATAAATACATATGCACACACTCACTCTCTCTCTCTCTCTCTCTCTCCCTCTCTATCTCTCTCTCTCTCTCTCTCTCTGTCTGTGTGGGCGTCCAAGTGGCTGCTTTTGCTGCCAATGCGAAACCATTTGCGGATTTAATTGCCGTTAACATGAGCCTCGCTTTACTTTGTTATTGTAGCTCAGCTGCAACTGTCTCCGTTACTTCTTCTTTTACTTGTTGTTGTTGTTGTTGAGCGTCACATTCGCTAGAAGGCGGTTTGGCAACTAGAAGACCGAGCGCCTGTTAGCTATACCAAAACTCCCTCATCTCTCTCTCCCTCTCTCTCTCTCTCTCTGTCTCTCTCTGTAAGAACTTCAACTTCTTTTGCCTTTGTCCTAGCATTGAGGTTTGCTTTCATATTGATAATACCCTGTATATACAGGGTATTATAAATATGAGCTGAAGAGTGTACAGTGAGGTGAGAAAAAAGAAAGCAGTCAGTCGAAAGGGAGCGCCTAGGAAAATAGTTTCTGAAAACTTTGGCAATGGGAACAGTTTTTGGGAACAGTTTTAAGTGTACACAGCTTATCAAAGGCAACCATACTTAAAATTCAAAAGTGGGAACAATTTTTTTTTTTGTATCATGATTAGAAGCATAAACACAGAGAAGAGATTTATCTACTTAAGTTTGTCTAAGATTTATGTAAAGTTTTATAGTTGAGATTTCTATATTTAAGTTTGTCTAAGGTCTATGTAATTTTTTGTAGTTTTTAGTTTTGTAGTCTTCTCATTTATCTTAATGGCAACAAAGCTTTGTCGGGAACAGTGCGAACAGTTTTTGTATATAGCCTTCAGGCATGGGAACAGCTTTTGGTAGTTCATTACAGTTTGTAAGTAAGGAGTTATTTTTTATACTCAAATATCATAAATATATACTGTTTGTTTGTATAAATAAAATCTCAAGAGTGGGAACAGTTGCTTACATCCAAGCTAATCGAATCAGTGCATTTATTATTTTAAAATTAATTTACAGGGTATTTTCCAAACAATATGAAATATTTATATTTTATATTTATTTTATATTTAACAAAAAAATTAACAATCAAGCATTTGAGATATTTACAAATGGAAAATCAATTCGATTTGCACAATTGATTTTAAAAATAAGACAATCTAAAAATATATAAAAATAAAAAACTACATAAAGAAACGTTTATTTAGATTCCCAGGTTTTCATCTCCAGTAAGCTTTGGCTTGGTAAAAATCTTGTTAATCAACCGATTAAGATATAATTGGGATATAATTAAAGAATCTGTAAATAAAAATGTTTAACATAAAAAATCAAAAAGTCTGTCTTGGCATATTATAATGTTGATCTATATAAATAAGTTGATTCGAAGTCTTTTTCATTATTTATGCATCCCCAGAGTAAATTTTATGTAATCTATGCTTTAAGCTCATGTAATGTGAGCTTAAATCATAGCTAACAGGGTAAATCAAACAATACTATTTACGTATATTTAGTTATGTGTATTATAGAGTATTTGAAGTTCGTTGTTGCTCTCAGCTTCGCACACCTCACAGTTCAGAGAAATCTTTTGCCAAGTTTTGTGGTCAGTGGAGGGAATTATGTCAACTCTCAGGTATCGCAGCCAAACAGATTTTCCACTCTTAACAGCGACTTAACATTCAAAAGCCACACAACAGAGCACAGCGTGGGTGTTGGCTCCATATATTTAAATACAGTGGAGAAGCATTATGCGGCTTTGCACGGTTGCTTGGCCATGCTGGTTAGTTGGCCTTAGACTTAATTATATATAAACTAAGTTTGTATAATTCATATACATAATTCATATAGCTAAAGTATGTTAAATGCCTATTTCAAATATAATACCTAACTAATAGACGTAGCCTACTTAAAAGCCGAGTAATTAGTATTGGATTAAATAAATAAAAGTGAAACTTACCCCTGGGAATCGCCTGGAGAAATTGGCTTCAATTGCTGCTCCACAGTGCGTAGATTATCGCTGATGATATAATCTGAAGAAGAGGAAGAGAAAGGAATTATTATTAATTTGTGAAATCGTATAAAAACTCATTGAACTGCACATATTAAAAATAAAAATAAAAAAAATAAAAAATTAATATAAAAAAAAATATTTGCAATAAAATTAATTTACAATATATTTGTAATTATACAATATAAATGTAATTATATTTTATATTCAGCTATTTTTATGTTCCCATATAAATAAATTATGTCCGAAGTCCGAAACTAAAGTATGATATTTTAGGAGATTATATTAAAGAGCAATTTGCATTCTCAAATTAGAATTATCAACAATAGCTCTAATTTTTCTGATTTATAGTAAGCTCGAACTGGAAAACCTTTTCTTTGAAAAATGTTAAATTTAAATGATATACAAAATTAATAATGTACACATGAAAAACTCTGTTAACCTAATTCAATTTCAGTGTGAGCTAAACAATCTAAAAGCTCTAAAAGCTCAGTCAAGCGCTGTTAAGCACACAGCTAACACTTTTGTTGGTCAAAGTCAGAGTTAACAGTCAATCTTAAGTACGTTCTGTTAAGCAAAGTCATAATAGTCACTGTTAAGTCCGTTCTGTAAAGTTGTCCCAACAAAAAGCTAAACGAAAGCTTTCAGATAGTTCCTTTGCTTTGGCAGGGAAAATTTGGTTGGGCACAAAAAGCTTGAAGTTTTGGTACTTTGGGACTTACCTTTCTGGAGCTGGCTGGTCGGTATGAATTCCTCGTGTTTTTGGTCCCCCTTTTCCTCGTACTTGAGCTTGTAGTCGGAGTGCTTGCGCAAGGACATCAGCAGCGACTGAGTGCGCGGCGGTATCTCCGGCGGCGCCGGCTCCGGCGGTGGCTCCGACTCGCCGCTGCTGTTGTTGTCCCCAAATTCATTCAGATCGCACGACAGCTGCAGCTGCGATTGTTTTGCCGTTAGTTGCTGCTGCTGCTGCTGCTGCTGCGGCTGCTGTTGCTGTTGCTGTTGTAGTGGCGTCTGGGCACGTTCGCTGCGATTGACGGATAAGGCCGAGGTGCCGCTGCTGGAGCTCGTCATGCCGCTCAATCGATTCAGTGTACTGCGCGCTGCACCGCTGCGCTGGCTGCGACTGCTCGACGCCGCTGTCGACGATGACGCCGACGCGGGCAGCAAGTAGGCGCTCGCTGCTGCCGCCACGCCCCTGGCGCTGCCGTCCCCAGCATCCGGAGGCGACTCCTCGGCGGCGTACTTGCCGTTCAAGAAGGGATTTGTACTGCGCGGCGCCGCAGTCAACGTCGTGCTGCTGCTGCTGCTGCTGTTGGGAAACAGGCCCAGATTGGCATTCGAGGGATATTTGATGGCGCCGCTACTCGCCGAGACGGTGGCCACCTTGAGTGGCGACTGCGCTGCCGCCGCGCCGTTGGCTGCGCCAGTTCGCTGATGCGGCTGAGCGTAGGTCACCTCTTGGCTGGCATCCTCGGTGCGATGATCGCGTTTGCGCAGATATTCCGGCTCACAGTCCGAGTTGTAGTGCTCCATGCCTGGCGGCAGAAGGGCAAAGAGAAGACAACAAAAAGAGTGGGTGGAGGGAGAGAAGAGAATTAGAGTCGCTTGCATATTGCACTTTCGTTTTCAGTGTTGCAAATGTGATGGGCACAGTTTTTGTTAAGATTTCAATTATAAACGACGCTCGCACAGTGAATCTGGGAACAGTTGTGAAATTTATATTTTAGGCTGTCCCTCTCACATAGGTTTGCTCCCAACATGACTCGAGTTGATTCAAGAGACAGAATTAACAATGTTTATGCATTTCACTTTTCCTTTCAGTGTTGCAAATGTGATGGAAACAGTTGTTGTTTAAATTACATTGAGTCTGGGAACAGTTTTGAAATTCAAACTTTACTCTACTCGCAACGACTCTAGAAACAGAACTGGTATAGCTTATGCAGCTGATTTTCATTAAATTTAGATTGCGAGACTTGTCTTGCAAGCCCTTCCATTAATTTTGGGAACTGTTTTGGAATTCCCACTTTGGTTTGCTCTCAATTCGATCCGAGAGACAGGATTAGTATCGCTGCTGCAGTTCACTTTCTCTTTCAGTGCTCCAAATAGCTTGACTCTTGAATTAAATTCTACGGATGGAAACACACAGTTTCAATTCAAACAAATACATCATTTATTTATTTATTATAAAATAGAATTTATACAAAATTTATTCGAGCTTAAAACTTAAGTACTGGAAACTGGAGCATTCGGCTGCTTATCCATTATATATAATACAGAAATATTCTACAGAATATGAATACTTCCGCACCAACTCGAACTCTCTAAATAAAACACTTCTTCAAAATCCAAATGAAGACGCCGACCCTCGCATTGAATACTTCAGGTACAAAACCATGCGATAGTATAACATAATAAATACATCAACCAAAAACGTCCAATATTCGTATTCCTCCTTCGTAATACGACTTTATAAAAACAGTTCAATGGACGAAAGCAGGATAATATCCTATCGCCAGGGACTGAACACCAAATATAAGCCACAATTTGAGTTTTTAAGGCTCAAAGATGAAGGGTAATGATTATGATAATAATAGCTTAATCCTCATCAAAC